AATACACCTGTCCTTGAGATTGGAAACATTTTCGTGACAGGTATCTTATTGATAGCTATACTATCCACACGCGCATACTCCAAGATCCATCCTACTGGTGGTTAATAGAGTAAGGGTAGCACAGCCCATTTTTTTTTAAATAAAAGTAAGGAGTAGCACAACTCATAAGGAGTTATGATGAAAAGAATAGTTAAAGGCTCCCCATTCAATCGATTTATTTCCTTAAGGCTCAACCTAGAAGATTAGAGATAAAGCAATCAAGCACCAAGAGAAACAACCATAGGCAACACATCAATACAGACCTCATTTCTATGATAGCCCAACCAAGAAACAGACTTCCTATTTAACTTGGCATTACATGTGTCATGTCTAATGATGTCCAACTGAATACGAACCTTACATCTTTGAGTGACTGATATAGTAATTATAATCATCCAACCAAAATGAAAAAGGATATAGATGTGATTCTATATTAATAATTTAACTAAGCAGTAGCAGATTTAACAATCCATGCTAAGTAATGGCGCAACTAGAAGTTTGTTAGAGCTGTGGAACACTAGAAAATATTTCTGTGATTTTTATAAGACGGCTGAATAACAATAGACTAGCACTTTATATAGGATTTATGGATATCTTATTATGCTTAGAACCTATGTTGCTCAGACTCTTTAATTTTAGTATAATACCTGTGCTAGACATGACACAACATTGATGTGGTTACCGGACCTATGTCCAACATTTGATGTGCATTTCGAACTCTTAGATGTCTACATTTTCAACATTTTTATACGATAAACATTTAATTAGTTATATATTACTAATTCACCGGTCTTTGGCCGCACTGCTGGTTTGTGCTCATGCTGTGCCATATAAAATGCACACAATTCTAATTGAAGTTGAAGCTGTTTTTGGCTTTTCATAAAAGTGAACCAAAAGCTGAAAAAAGTTATTTCTAAGATATAGCTTGGTGAATGAAATCTCTAATGAATATATTTTTTAATTTTATGTTTTATTAAAATATCATTTTGATATTTTAAAAATAAAATATGGGTAATTTATTTATTTAAGTAGTTTCTATTTCTCAAAACTAAAAGATGATGAACTAAACTGAGTAAAATAAGTACAAAAATTTTTAAGAAAAAGATTTATAATATATTTAAATTGTTTGTAATAATTACTTTTCATTGTCACGTAGCTTCTATTATTATTTCAATATTGACCACTTAATTTTTAACATGATTAACTAAATACAACATTATATTTTTTTGAGACAAAAATTATAATATTATATTTTACATTGACAGTACTTCTACAACAAGTTCAAAACCCTTATTATCACATTTCTATTCACTACAAATATGAGTGCTAATTCTTATGCTAAAGGTTGTTTGCTATGTATGTGACATTCTCATCTAAGATTGTTATGTATATCACATTGCCATAGCTTCCTAAAACCTAAAATTAGTTATATATTTCCTTATCAAACAAACCAAGTACCAATACCCAATTTGTGAACTCTTATTGACGGACTCTCTATAATATGACTATAAAACTGATCAACTAACACCACTTAGCTCTATACCCAGACTGGATATTCACACCAAGTCCAGACAACGTCATCTAGAATTATAAACAGGAAACAAAAACTAAATAGGATGGAATAACAACTTAATAGGATTCTAGCTAACCAAGAAATAACAAACCTATTAAAGATATAATAAGCCCATATGTTTTTCTAAAAAAAATAAATAAATAAGTCCATACTAGTAATAACAGGGGAGATAATTCCAGGATGGCCCTGCATTAATGCAAGCATGATAAACTGCAGTGCAATTCTCAAGATCTAAAACAAATAGAAGTTTAAGTGATGCAGAATGAGAATAACATATATTCAAAAAAAATTCAGATTAGAATATATTTATTTAAAAATATAAAACTTTAATTTTTTATATGCACTTAGAAATGTACAGATTATTTACTATATATCTATAAGCATAATTTCTATCAGAAGTTAAAGGTATCATATTTAGGATTTAGTTTCTTCCATATATATATATATATGTATGATCAATTATGAATTGGCAATCAT